ACTATTTACCTTTGGCAACCCCAAAAATGAAATACTGAAATTTTCACCTAACAAAACATATATAAGATTTATATAAGGAAAACTACAAAACTCTGATGAAAGGTCTCAGGGAAGAAAATTCAAATGCAGAGATAGTCTATTCATAAATAGAAAAACTCAATATTATCAAGATGCCAGTTCTTCCCAACTTGATCTATATATTCAATGAAATCCAAGTAAAAATTATTTTATTCATCTCAACAAACTGATTCTAAAGTCTATATAGAGAAGCAAATGACTATATTGATGAAGAACAAAGTCAGAAAACTGACACTACCTGACTTCAAGTCTTATTATAAAGCTACAATAATCAAGACAGTGTAGTACTAGTGAAAGAAAAGACAAACAGATCCATGGAACAGAGTAGAGAACTCAGAAACAGACCTGCAGAATTATAGTCAGCTGTTCTTTTACAGAGGAGCAAAGGTGACACAAAGAGCAAAAATAACCTTCAATAAATAATGCTAAAAAAACCTGCACATCCACATGCATATAAATGAATCTAGACACAAACCTTACACACTTCCCTAAACTTGAAGCTCACAGACTACATGCAATGCCCACCTAAAGGTGATACCCATTTTTTTCTTTTTCTATCTTTTTGTTCGTGGGCTGCAGAGACAGACACAGCAGGAAGTGCACAGCAGAGGGACACTAACGCACTCACCGGGAAAGAAATCTGTTCTCACATCTCCTTTCCCCAGCCAGGGCTCTTTCCCTTGCTCCAGTAAGGAAACCACATCGGGCTTGGAAATGTTAAGACCTGCTTGCAGGAAACAAAATAAATTCACAATTAGTTCTTGAATCCTCAGAAAAGAGGGACCATTAAAAGAAATGTCAAATGTAAGTATGAAAGGTGTTTAAAGATTAGGTGGCGTCACAATGCCCATCTTAAAAACGAGTAGTAACCCCTAGACACGGACTACAGTGAGGTGATGACCTGAGGAAGGGGGGCTGGGGGCTGGGTGCAGGTGGGGAAAGGGGGTAAATTGGAGACACCAGTAATAGTGTCAACAATAAAAATAAAGTTTAAAAAATTAAACAAAACCCCCACAACCTAATTTAAAAAAATAGCATACCTCCCTTGGGACTATTCAGCCAGTTACTGAAGATTCCCAACACCACCTACGGTCGAGCTCTAACTGAAGGGGGTGAGGAGCACTCACCCAGGGAGACCAGGTGGCCGTAGTTCTCCAGCATGACGTGCCTGTAGAGGTCTCGCTGAGCGGGCTGAAGCCATGCCCACTCCTCCTGGGAGAAGTCTATGGCCACGTCTCTGAATGTCACTGACCCCTGAAAGGACAGACAGGTGTCTAACACGGGCACCAAGGCTCCGAAGGGCCTGACCAAGGAGGGAAGTGACTGGCAGAGGAGGGTGGGCACTGTATGTAGGAGCAGCAATGGGACCTGCAGAATGCTCGGTGGTCACTGAGAGTGTAACTAAGAGAGCTGGTTTGCTTTGCTGTATAATGGAGAAAACGAGAAAAACACACCATCTGAGATGTCCTGACATATTTTACAATTTTGTGAAAGGTAAAGGATTATACATGTGAACAACATGAATTTCCGGCTTTGGTTGTAAAAACTCTTAAGGTCTTACATCACATCATGAATGAATAGTGAAGACGATTCCTTTGTGTTTAATAGTCAATGGATAGTGTCCTTAATACCAGCCCCTTTTGACATGATTTGGCAAGAATTTCCTTCTTATAACAACTGGCTATGGCAGGCGGCGGCAGCGCCCTAGAAGGGAGGCGTGCACTCTCCAGCTTACACACCCCCCGCCCCCCACTCCTGAAGAAATCGCTGTGAAACTCACAGAACAAGGAGGATAAGCCCCAACCTATCAGGGGCTCCCCAGGCGGGACTGCAAGGCCTCCCAGCACGGAACCGGTGCTTTTGCCCTCAGGGTTGGAGGGAATAAGAAGGCCCTGGTTCTGCACCACCTGAGTGACCCATGTGACTGTTAGGCATGAAAAGGAATGTTAAAAGGTCCCACACTAGCAGCCCCAAATGTGTGGAGGGTCACAGGTCATACTTTGCACTGAACAACATTATTTTCCGTGATAAGGATGAGCGAGTCACAGAGAAAGAAGCTGCTTCCTACAGTAAACAGTGGGACTTGCAACTCAGGTGAAGGTGGACTCCCCGGCAAAACTCTGGATTTGGACACAAGTGTGACAAAAAGTGGGAGGGCAGTGGGACTGACTACACACAGCGGGACTAACGGGATGGCTGGCCTTATTCACTGAGAAGTATGATTGCCAGCCAGGCACTCAGCCGCCAAAATAGCCAGTGCTCCTCGCTGAATACACTGGGTGTCGCGTCTGAAAAGTGAGCTCCGAGTTCCGAGCTTTTATCTCGCTCAGGCCGGGAGCGGGTCACGCGTGCGCATGCCCAGGAGGGGCTGCTAACCAGGCTGCTAACCCGACCCCCAGCTTCCGGCTTAGCGCCCGGGCGGCGGGGCTGACACTGCGGGCCCGGGGGGTCGCCCTCTGAGAGCAGATACAGATGCTGAACGTGGACGCTCCGTGTAAACATGGTGAATAAATGGGTGAGAGGCCGCTAGAGCAAGAGACACAGGACCCAGCACTTCTCCTTCGAGTATTGAGAGAGGAGGCAACAGCACAGCTGGCTCCCAGTTCAACCCCGAAACACACCTGCCCACACGGCCCTGGCTTCCCGTCCACCCGCCTGCACCCCTCAGGCCTGAAGTCACCGCGTCCCTCGGGAGAAGAGAGGAGGCGCCGCTTACCTGAGACATGGCTCCTGCGGGCCGGGCCCCAGGAACCGGGTCCCGCCTCAGGGGGTTCCCGTCGCTCCACATCCACCCGCCTCGTCACACGGGGGCTCGGAACACAGCAGCCGGGGCGCCCGCCAGGGCTCCCTTCAGGCCAGGAGTCCAGCCTGACCTGCACCCCTACACCTGCTCCTTTGCGGGGGCCACAGGACTGCACTTCCTCTGCGATTCCGGCAGCGTGGGCTCCGGGCTCCGGGCTCCGGGCTCCGGACGGTTAGGGCCCAGGCAGCAGGCGGGGTGATCTCGGCGCAGGCGGGTTGGGCGCCTTCACCTACCTCCGGCCCAAGAAGCCCAGACTCCACCGGGCGTCCTGGAGTCCAAACGGCGCCTTTCGGAACCCCGGGGACCAGGCCGCGGGCCCCAGACAACTGCACTTCCCAGGATCCACCGCTGCCTCAGCGCGCGTGGGAGGAAGGCTCCCCGTCACACACTACAACTCCCACAACCGCCCAAGTGCGGAGAGAAACAACGGACCTCAGACAACTACACTTCCCAAGACACACCGCGGTCTCAGCGACCTGTGGAAAGAAGGCTCCCCATCATACACTACAACTCCCAGAACGCCCCACGTCCTCAAGAGAACTACACTTCCCAGGTCACATCGCGGCCCCAATGCTCCGTTGAAGTCAGACATCCCATCACACACTACAACTCCCAGAACTCCCCACGCCAGCAGAGACAAAAACTGGGAGCCTCAGACAATTGCACTTTACGACTCACTGCGCCTTAGCACGCTTCAAGAAAAAAAGGCTCTCGGTCACACACAAAAACACCGGAACGAAGCAGAGTCTGAGACGTCAGTCTCCAGACGACTACATTTCCCAGGATACACAGCGGCCTCAGCTTACGGCGCCTCCAGACAAAGGCCATTGTCCTCGGGGCACTACAACTCCCAGGACGCTGCGAGGCCCTAGCATCCTGAGAGGCAAAGCGCCACCTTCACATAACTACAATTCCCAGAACCCACTGCAGTCCCAGCACTTCTATGATTTCCAGCTTCATACAACTATACTGTGGCCTGAACGCATGTCCTAAGAATACAATCAGGAAAAAAACGACTTTATTGTGTTGCTTCACTCTATTTTCACCCCAAATGGAATGACTCCCAAAAGGGTGAATTTGCTTTACAAAAGAGTGAGTTTGCTTTGAAGAGGGGTTAATTTCAAGTGGAAAACCTGTAACTGGAATTCCTCCCCTCTGAGGACTGGTATTCCCAGAGACCCTCGTGGCCTAGCCACCAGAGGCTGGAAGCGACAGGTTCCCCCTCTTCTCTCCCCCCCCCCCCGCCCCCTGATCTGCAGAAGAATAGGTGATTCTGGGGGCCACTGTTTGGAATCCGTGATGACCTATCACCATTAGCTGCTCCCTGGTGGTCAGTGCGCTCCCACAGGGGGAGCTCTGCTCAGCCACAAGCCAGGCTGCCGGCTGCCAGTACAGCGGTGGTGTTGGGAGCCTCTCCCACCTCCTTAGCAGCACTAAGGATGTCCGACTGCAGCTTAGGCCTGCTCCCCACTGGCAAGTGGACATCCCCCGAGGGCTCCCGGGCTACCAGAGGGATGTCTGATTGTCAGCTTAGGCCCAATCCCCCGGGAAGCGGGCCTAAGCCAGCAGGTGGTCATCCCCCGAGGGGTCCCAGACTGAGAGAGGGCACAGGCCGGGCTGAGGGACCCTCCCCCAAGTGCACAAATTTTTGTGCACCGGGCCTCTAGTTTAATCATAAGCTACAGATATCACATGGAAACGTGTTCAGAGACCAGCAGGTAAGAAGAGGAGCTGCTGTCTTTGAGGGGGTGTTTGACACATGAAGATGAGGCAGGGTGGCTGTTATACCACAGGGCGGAGAGGAATATGAGTGGGTTTAGTGGATCCACTCAGGTGCTTCTTGGCTTCCTCGTCCAGTGGTGATAGTAAATGGATAAATCAAGTCGGGAATGAGGAGGGCATAGTGACTAGGACTCAGTAATGAGAATCCGGTTCATGCCACCAAGCAGGACAATCACTTATTTTCCAATCACTTCACAGCCAGTGAACCTCAATAAACTCCTTGCCCCCTACATTTTATCACATTATCTGCTTCCAGAGAACCCACTTATGGCTTGTATGAAGAATATTTGGATTTTAAGAAACAAAACTTGAACCACCTGAAGCAAACATGGCGTTTTATTAGGAGAATATCTGTGCTATCTCACAGGAGAGCCCAGCGATCAAGGCATAAATGGGCAGAGGAGAATGCATATCGGGACAAGAACCAGATTCTGGGTCTCAGTCAGTACTGTCCCTTGCCTTTGCTTCCACAATGGCTTAATTTTCCTCTCACTGCAGATTATGCTTCTCCATGTGGTAGAAAACATAGCTATGATAAGCAATCACATTTATATATAAAGCTTCAGTTGCTAAAATTATATAGACAAGATTGTTCCAGCTTTCTAATGGAAAAGATAAAACATGTGATGATTATATCACAGTGACAAATACATATACAGGCTCATAAAGCTTGGAGAGGCATTAATAAGAAACAAGGGAATTTCAGTGGAAGATTTGCAAAAAGCATCTGAGAATGTAATTCCAAGGAACTGCAAGTAGTTCAAGGAGGCCAAAAAATAGTAAGAGGAGAGGTAAAGTATTCAGAAATTATGGATAGGCATGTATTTGTCTCATGGGGATATACCATATTTCACTTTCTTAAGTCCACAATTAGCTATTCAACATTTCAGCACAAGTGTAATCACAATTATATTTTAAAATAACTATGTATGAGTGTGAAAATAGACTAAAAAAGAATGAAAGCAAGGTGCAAGAAATATGCATACAGTTGCAAGGGTCATGGTTGAGTTAATCAACACTTAGGTCATGACTAGTTAATGAACATCTGAAAGCTTGGTACCGTATTTTGTTTGTTTGTTGTAGTACTGTACTGTATTTGTAAACCAACAAGCTCAATGAAATTGACAAACTGGGTATATATTGCTGGGATAAATGACATAACACATTACTGTGGTCCCAAGCATAGATATCAAATGACTACTGACCTACATTCTGCTTTTTAATACAGATAAATCTAGTATTGTAAGTTTATTGATCCTCAATAAACATCCTGCTCCCCAAATTTCATCACATTATCTGTAAGAAAATATCAGGAACATATGGATCCACAGAGACAACTGTCAGAAGATCCACGGCACACAAGGGAAGCTGAAGGGAAAGCACTACTACAACAGACCTCAAAACTCATAGACTAGACTTCCAACAGGTCCATTTACTAAAAGGAATGCAATAGAAGTTGTCCGATGTAGAATTGTCTCCAGGTCTGTGGAACAACCTAGGTAGTAAAAGAGGAATGATTAAGCCTGTTGCTCAATGGTTAGAGCGTCGGCTTTCAAACGGAGGGGTCTTGGGTCTGATTCCCAATCAAGGGGACATATCTGGGTTGCAGGTTCAATCCTGGCCCTGTTCAGGGAGAATGTGGGAAACCACTAATGGATGTATCTCCCTAACATAGATATTTCTCTATCTCTCCCCTCCCTCCTTCCACTTTCTTAAAAAAAAAAAAAAAAAAGCCCTAACTGGTTTGGCTCAGTGGATAGAGCGTCGGCCTGCGGACTGAAGAGTCCCAGGTTCGATTCCAGTCAAGGGCATGTACCATGGTTGCAGGCACATCTCCAGTGGAGGGGTGTGCAGGAGGCAGCTGATCAATGTTTCTCTCTCATCGATGTTTCTAACTCTCTATCCCTCTCCCTTCCTCTCTGTAAAAAATCAATAAAATATATTTTTTTAAAAAAAGCAATGCAAAAAAAATCCTCAGGTTAGGATTAATACACACACACAAAACAGGAATGATGCTTCCTATTTTGTCTCAACAATTCTATCCCAGTGTGATGTATTGTGCTCCACAAAACTGTAAGTAAGCCACTCTAAAACTGCCTTTCTGCTTAGTCCTGAGCAGGTAGCTCAGTTGGTTGGAGCACCGTCCTGATAGGCCAAGGTTGCAGCTTTGATATCTACTAAGGGCATATACAAGCAACCAGTGAATGCATAAATAACAAACAACAAATCGGTTTTTCCCTTTTTCTTCCTCATTCTAAAATCAATCAATAAAATTTTTTTAAAAACTAAGAAAATAAAATACATCAATCTCTCTTTCCCTTCATCTCCAAAAACAAAAATTTTGGAAAATTAATTTTATAACATTTTCTGAAATACCTAAAATAGCAACTCACAGAATCCATGTTCCATCGTAACAAATTAAAATGCAAGCTGTGCTTAGTTTACAAAGAACTTTACACATATTTTATACATGGAGGCATCACCAAAAAATGATAAAGATTTTGTACAGCTCTACTGCCACTTGGTTTGAATGCTGAGTAAAATGGTCACACACCTTCCTTTGCTCACTCAGCATATCATGAGTCACTATTGAAGTTCTGTGGTACTGCCTTTGAATACTTATAAACCGGGTTTTTTATATAAACTGACTCAGACTCTGAGGACGCAGAAGACTTTATATAAAACGTTGGCTTCTGATACTGAAGTGAGGTCAGTAACAACAGACCCCTGTTACACATCAACAAACCATAGGGAAAAGAGATGTGGTTTTATTATTGTTGAGCAATAAGGCATATGATGTTAATTAGTTGCCATTTCTATAGTATCAGCAAGACAGAAAAGCAGTGGCATGTGGTGTCTTGACAGACATCAGCGGCCCTACAAGGCATGTGCATCTCGTGCTTCTAATTACATTGTCATATGCAGTGACCATACAAAACACCTTATGTGACAAAAAAAACATAAATACACTAAGAAATTCCTAATTTAGAATTTTCATTTATTCAGTTTTTTCATGGATCTTCATACTTCTGAGTGAAAACCTGTCAACCACTTAGAATTGGGAATTTTTGATACTCATGTCTAAAAAAAGTATATGGCTTCCCTTTATAGCATTATTTCTAGGGGCACACATTTCCAATGTCTTTAAATTGTTAGCTTTATCCACAATATGAATTCTCTGAAATACAATATGGTTACATTACTTGCTAAAGACTGTTCCATATTTCCTATTTTCACAAACTTCATTTCTTAGAGCAATTTCTATGTACACTGAGCTGTAATTTTTTGATGAAAAGATTACCTCAAGTGCAACATTCATTTACTCACTGGACTAGGATTTAACCCCAGTGGTAATGTTTCTAACAGGTAATGAAATTTACACTTTAGAAGGCTTTCTATTATTGATAGTATTCCTCTTTGCTGTTAATTTTCTACTGTATTAGGTTTCACTATAATTTGAAAGGTTTTTAAAACACACTGCATTTCATGGGCTCATTCCACTCTATGACTTCTGATCTATAAAACTGTTAAATCTGCTGAAACTTCCCTATATA